ATAGCCCCTAATCACTGGTACCCCCTCCTGAGTCCCTGCTCAGTTGTCTCTCTTCATTAGCCTCTACCGTGCAGATACCCCTGCTTGCCCTGTGTGATGTCACGGTTAGGTGCAAGGCTGTGGTGCTAGACCTGGGATGAAATTCCAGCTCCACAAAATAACCACCTGTGTTGTGCTGCAGTTTCCTCACCCGTTAAATATTAATAATGGTACACACTGCTTTGGGTTGTTCGGATTACAAGAGGTAGTAGATGAGGTGTTTAGGAAAATGCCTGGTATATATTAAGTGCTCTGTAATTGTTAGCTATTATAATTTCCAGGCCACAACAGGCATATTGTATAATGGTAAAGAAACCCAGGCTCTGGAGTCAGATCACCTGTGTTTGTATCCTGGCTCCACTAAATACCATGAACATTGGGCAAAATGTTGACTAGCCTAAGGCCTCAATTTTCTCATCTGTAAAATGGGAATAATAGTACCACCTACCTCCTAGAATTACTGTGAGAATTTTATGAGACAATCCATTTTATTTATTTATTTTTATTTTTTTAAAGATTTTATTTATTTATTTGAGAGAGAGAGAATGAGACAGAGAGAGAGAGAGAGCATGAGAGGGGGTAGGGTCAGAGGGAGAAGCAGACTCCCTGCTGAGCAGGGAGCCCCATGCGGAACTCGATCCCGGGACTCCAGGATCATGACCTGAGGGGAAGGCAGTCGCTTAACCAACTGAGCCACCCAGGCGCCCTGAGACAACCCATTTTAAATACTCAGTACCTGGCAGTCTTTCTCTGCTAGACTCTTGAAACCTAGCACATGACTTTTGCCAGGTATGCAGGGAAGGGAAGAGCTGCTGGATACTGTCTATCTCTTGGCCTGTTGATTGCGATTGTACGAACTGGACAGTTTGTCACTTTTCAGAACCCAGGGCAGCCAACTTGCTCCTTCAATGAAAGGGGGCTGCTTGAATGCCGACCGTTGGTACTATTTTACAGAGTACTTTGTAATTATACATTTATGAGATTATTTGATCATCGTGTCCCTCCCCTAGAACAGTGCCCAACACAGAATGGGAATTCAATTAACATTTGTTGAATGGACCAGCCAGCCATGTGATAAACGAATTAGAGCACTGGCTCCCTCCAAGCCTTCAGTTAACCAGCAGTTCACGGTCTAAGATATTCCCAGTGTCCTTGATGGGAAACAGTAACGGAACCTGGGTGTGTAGGGCCCCTCCCTTTGATCCTAGTCCTCCCTTCTCTCGGAGATAGGGACAGGGACGCCCGAGGGTCTAGAACGAGCACGGCTTCCCTCCTTTAACGCTGCTACCTAGCGGCGTCCGCCAGAAGTGAAGTGAGGAAAAGCTGCAAAGCTGGAGGATCGGAGCAAGCCGAAGATAGGATCCACCTCAGGCCGAGCCCTTCCTTCAGCTCCCACCCATGGCTCCGAAGCGAGTCCCCTCAGCCGCCAGAGGGCGGTGCTCACAGAGTCTTAGACTCTATGATCCTCCTCGCCGACTCCCATGAGCAAGAGCGACCAGAAACCGCCTATATACTTCCGTTTCCGGCCCAGCCTCTTTCTTTCCGTGCCGATAGCGCTCTCGCAAACATGGTAGGACCCGGGGCGGTGGGCCCGGTAACATCCAGTTTAATCTTTTCGCCCACTTTGACCGAGGCCATCCCAGGCTGGCTCTAGGCCCATGTGTGGACTCGTACCAAAGAAACCCATTGTTGCCGGGATCGACCCCGAAGGCACTGGGCTTCGGGGCCAGGAAATGAAGTGATGGGATCAAAGAGGTAGACTTAGCCGGGGGTGGAGGGAACGTGCACGCTCTCCACTTCTGGGCCCAGCGGAGGCCGCTGGACCTGAAGCACGTGCGGCCGTACCACCTTCTGGTCGAGTGTTGTGTGCTAGCGAGGGGTCTGAGAGTCAAGCCCTCGTGGGATGTCAGCTGGGTCGGTTAGGGCGTTGTGCAATTGGTATCTGATAATGCCGCTCATTCTGAACTCTCTCTCCTAGGTGAACGTTCCTAAAACCCGCCGGACTTTCTGCAAGAAGTGTGGCAAGCACCAGCCCCACAAAGTGACACAGTACAAGAAGGGCAAAGATTCTCTTTATGCCCAGGGTAAGACGGTCTATACGTAATGCGGTTTTAATCATTCGGGAACTCTCATAATACATGAGCAGCCCCGTGCCCCCCCCCCAACCTGGGTATTGTTATTTCTGCTGGAAAACCCAAGATAAACCATGTAAGAAGACTTTTCCGTGTGGCGGGTGTGATTATACCTAACAAAGAACTTGGTTCTCCCAGGAAAGCGGCGTTATGACAGGAAGCAGAGTGGCTATGGCGGGCAGACTAAGCCGATTTTCCGGAAAAAGGTTAGTTGTAATTACTATTTGACATGCTTCCCACTTACTGTGGTAAAGACCTTGCATTTTTCTCCAGCCCACACTTGCACAGTACAGGTGTGTGGTTTCAGTGAAGTGCTCTACTGTGACCTGTCTACTCTAGTAGGCAGTGGAGCTGGAGTGCACCCCGGATCTGACTCTAGTCTACAGTCCTGCACTGTCTCAGTGTTCCCTTTTTTTGGTCCTTCCCTTTTTGAAGAGGCAGACATCAAGTAAAGGAAATGTGCCCTGACTTCCTAAGGACTGAAGTTTGAGTACAGCAGTGAATCCTTTCTTTGCCCTGTTCCCTGTCATACCCTAGTGAATCCTCAGCCCTTGCTTGCAGTGAGAATTGCTCTTACTTTGCTTCTCAGTTCAGAAGCCTGCAGTCTGCTACCTATCTCATGAAGTTTTAAAGCTCTTTAACATCCTTATCTAGGCCTTCCGCTGCCCTCCTGAATTCTCTCGTCATTCAATCATCCAGGCCAAATGAGTTCCTGTTCTGCCCTAGGTGATTGGCTACCCCTTAAAGTACACAGTGCCTGGAATAGCATTCCTATGAACACAGCATTTCTTGTTTGGCGCTTTGCTCATTCAGCCTTGTTCCAGAAAGTACTAAGGAATAATGTTAGTGTTCGTTTAGGTGCCAGAAATGGTTTGATCTCAAGGTGGTACAAGGAATGCCAGATCACCTTTTCACATTCAGCTAACTTGTTGAGAAGGTGGGAAGATTCTGCCTGGGCTTTGGCTTTTCTGAGAACTGTGAACGGGCAGAAGTAGAATTCTGATTATAGGAGTAGACTTAAAAAGTTCATTAGTGTATGCTGAGTTAAATAAATACAGTTGAATGCACATAAATTGTAGACATAATTTTAGGTAGTCTCCAGAGAATTGATAGATTTAAGTAACAATTATTAACCCTAGTGAGAAAGTTATGTTTAGTTCACAGTGTCATACACTTGGTTGACCCATTTTTGGTTGTGGGGAGTACCAACTATGAGCTGGTGAAAGGCCACAAGCTCAAGGTGGTGTGATGAATCCTATTTGATAAGCTCTTTGGGATGTTTGATGGGAATGGAGAATTTGATGGCAATTAGATAACCACCTACTTGCTATTAAATTTCCTCTTAAATGCACTGATTTTTACATTTCCTTTTTCTCCCTATAGCTAAAGACAAATTGCCACAACTCGGTCATTTGTAGAGCTTCTCTTTAAGTAGTACTTAACCCAACAGTCCTATTTTGAAGAAAGATTTTCTGCAGTGATTTATGAAGGGGTTGACTTCATTTTTTTCCAGGCTAAAACTACAAAGAAGATTGTGCTGAGGCTTGAATGTGTTGAGCCCAATTGCAGATCTAAGAGAATGCTGGCTATTAAGAGATGCAAGCATTTTGAACTGGGAGGAGATAAGAAGAGAAAGGTATATAATTATGGGTGGAAGGTGCAATCTTTTCTATTGGGAGAGGTGAACATTCTCCCCACTTAATGATGGTGGAATCAGGAATGGGGCAATCCTCTTAAAATAACTAGACCCATAGCTGAAGGTAAGAAGTTTTTGGTGGGTTTTGGCATGAGTAGTAGAGGGATGAGGAGGAGACTTGACTTAATTAAAAGGTGGTGATCCCTTTAGGGGGATAGACCGTGTACTTGAGAGAATAGAAGTTCTTTGCAAAATAAAAAAACTCACTTTTTTTTTTCTGTTCCATTACAGGGCCAAGTGATCCAGTTCTAAGCTTCATATTTTGTTAATATTACGAAGACAATAAAATCATGAGGTTATGTTCACTTCATTTGGTTGCAGTTGGTCTTTTAAGAGGGAAATAAACTAGTGCCATCAATAAAACTCCCCTTGTGGGGCAGTTTATGTTTGAGGATTCTTCTGGGTACTTTGCTAATTTTGGATTTATTTGATCTGGTTGAACTCATATCAAACATGGTGATTTTCCAATTTGGCACTTTCAGTTAACATGGGGGTTTCATGGGATTCCTTTCGCTGTTACACAAGGGTTATTAGTTATCATGGGACATAGAGTCCCATGAAAACTAACAGTTATATCCACAGTGAATGTAAAGTTTACGAAGAGTGAAATACTTACTCTCCTATACCCTTGCTACTTCAGTCATCTAATGAGGAATTTAGGCCCAGTTTTCTATGCAGAGCATTCTATATGTATTCTAAGTGCTCAGACCTAACTCTCCTAACATTTCTCAGACCTCTTGATGTACCCCCTCAGACTTCAAAGTAGACATAAATTCTCAGGTTGAAATAACTGCAGAGGATATAATGTCTAGGGAATTAAGCTGCCCAGCAGAATTTAACGGATATCTGTCGATCTTTAAAGATGTCTAATCGTTGCAAATTTTACATCCTTTTCCTCTTTGTATACTTGATTCTTACTGATGTTCAGCTTTTCATACTTGTACAGCAAAACGGGAGGCGAAATATATAAGCGATACATTTTGGTAACGAAGTACATCTCTGAGATGGAGCAGTTTTCTTCCAGATTGCCTTGTTTCCGTGGGTGATTAAGTCTGGGTTTGCCAGTTGTAGCAACTGATGATTACTCCTCCAATTTTATTGAAAATAATTGATAATCACCTAACAGGCAAAGGAATTGTTAAACATGCACTTTGTATTTTGAGGGTCTTTGTCCCTTGCTAATTTTGTGCTGTTGTGCATTCAGCCTGGGTGAGCTGCTGCCGTTGGTCATGTGGGAGAAGGGTGATTGTGAAAGGGGAGAGGTGATGAGCAGGCTTGAAGCTTTGACTACAGATTGGTCCTCAGGCAAATCAATGGGAGGAAAAGGGAATTCTAATGTCTGGAAATGCCTTTGAAATGATCCATTCCCTGGGGCGCCTGGGTGGCTCAGTCACTTAAGTGTCTGACTCTAGATTATGGCTCAGGTCATGATCTCAGGGTTGTGAGATGGAACCCCGCATCAGGCTCTGCGCTGGGTGTGGAGCCTGCTTGGCATTCTCCTGCACCACCTCCTTAAAAAAAAAATGATCCATTCCCACATGCCGCAGTCTGAAGATCATTGCCTCATCACATCCTAGAGAGGAGGCAACTTAAAAGGGGAGAGGGTGTTCTGGCCAGAGATCATAACGTATCAACTCTTGCTGGTGAAAAGTAAGCCATGTGCTTTTTTTGGATCTAGACTGCAAACCACCTTAGGATTTGGAAACCTGTGTGGTGGAGTGTGTCTTGATGAGATGGTTCCATAAAAATTCAGTAACGTGGTCTCTTGGGTTGCTTCTGTAGGTTATTCCTGCTGGGCTATTTTTTGCCCTTCAAGTAGCTTTGTTTTTCCCCTCCCTTTGGGCTAAGATTGTATTTAAGCAGTGCCATCCAAGCACCTCAGTAGGTGGTAAGTTGAAGGGTTAAAAGTCTGGGCTGAAATCTTGGCTGCAGTTTGTAGTGGATAAGTACCTGCCTCTGCTGTTGGTGAGGATTCAGATGGCTCAATATACTTAACACATCTAGAACAGTGCCTGGCACATTCTTTCAGTTTGTTTCAAAAGCTTTTCCCCAAAATGTTGTCTAAAGATACCTTTAGAAGTTTTTACAAAACTCCACTGAGGAAAATTTTATTGACGGAAAGGAGGACAGCTAAAGTGGGAATGGAAGAAAAGGGAGACACCAGTGGGGGAATCACTTGGCAACAAAATACACATTTTTTTTTTTCCTTTTGAAGTAGGGGCTTAAACTCAGGACCCTGAGATAAAGACCTGAGCTGAGATCAAGAGTCAGAGGCTTAACAGATGAGCCACAGGGGCCGCAACAAAGGCGGCTTTTTAAAAAGTGTAGGCTAGGTTGCTGCCAGCCGAAGTAAAACGGTGCCTGTGGGATTTATCTTAGTTTTTAAATCTGAAGTCCACTGATAAAACCCAAGCTTTCTCTTCTCAGGCAGGAGCTGTGTGATCATGCAGTCAGGAATACAGGCCAACCCCTGACCCAAGGAAGCAATAGAGATGGTATGAAAACGAGGTCCACCCATCTCCTGCAGGTTTACCATAGCCACAGCCCAGGCTAAGTCCGACAGTGGGCGTTCCCACACCTCAATGTTGTCTTCCTGAAAAGTAAGCCAAGAAAATAGGTGTGATAGCTTGGTAACTAGCAGGAAGCTGCCTTACTGGTACTGGCATTCAGTTATTGTCAGAACTGAGCGCTTCTAGGAAAAATTAAAATCCTACAGCGTGCTTTGGAAATAAGGTAATGGTTAGCAAAAAAGGAGCCTCATTACTGATTATAATATGAAGATTAAAAGTAAATATTCTTGGCTCAGTTGGTTAAGCGACTGCCTTCGGCTCAGGTCATGATCCTGGAATCCTGGGATCGAGTCCTGGCATGGGCTCGCTGCTCAGCGGGGAGTCTGCTTCTCCCTCTGACCCTCCCCCCTCTCACGCGCTCTCTTTCTCATTCTCTCTCTTGCAAATAAAATCTTTAAGGAAAAAAAGTAGTCTCAAAAGACGAGTGCACATCCTTTTAATTTAACAGATTTAGGACCAGGACAACGGTGGTACTTGGGCATAAAGCCATTCCATCTTAAACACAAACATTTGGATGAACTGTAAACTAGAAGGCAAAAGCATATGTTCCTGGCCAATTCCTATTTTCTCCCATAGAACATTATTTACTGTACCTTTCTAAGCCGGTACCCCTGCTTGCCCAAGGGGTCTTGGTTGATGGCAATTACATCCTTATCCTGAAGGAGGGCTTTGGCTTGAGGGCTGATGTGTCGGAGGTCATTGGACATGAGTAACGGAGCGGCCATGATAGCCCACAGGGCCATCTGAGTTACCTGCTGGTCCCAGCTGAGGCCAAAGTTACCAATCACTAACTGGGACAAAGAAGAGCAAGAATTTAAATTAAAAAATGAAACATTTGGGGCGCCTGGGTGGCTCAGTTAAGCATCTGCCTTCAGCTCAGGTCATGATCCCAGGGTCCAGGGATCGAGCCCCACATCGGGCTCCCTGCTCTGCGGGAAGCCTGCTTCTCCCTCTCCCACTTCCCCTGCTTGTGTTCCCTCTCTCGCTGTGTCTCTCTCTGTCGAATAGATAAACAAACAAAAACATTTTTAAAGTTGCCTAGCTACAGAAGCCACTTTCTGTGGCACCCTGCTCTGAGTACTCTCATGTAAGGCCTTATTCTAGGAATTTTCCCTTCTGATTTGCCTTGAAAAATCAATAGGGAACAGGTCCACTGCAGGGGCTTGAATAAGGAGGGCTCAGGTTCTTACCATATCTGGGTCATTCCAACCCCCTGGTCCTGCGACATCAACAATTCTCTTCTGGTTAGAAGATGTCCAGGCCAAGATACTCTTTACACTTTGCCAAGAATCATAAACATCCTCAAAATTTCTCCAGTGATTGCAGTACTGTCGGATTTCTGTGTAATTCGGCTGTGAAAACACATAACTCTTCTGTTTACTTTCTACTGACATTCTTGCAAGATGAAAACAGTCAAGTTTAAAGGAGGTACCAGTAGCCTCTTATCCCTATTATAATGGAATTTCATTGTAAGAAGTCTGCTTCAGAAGTAGGCCTTATAACTTAAAATCTGTCCTTAAAATGGCTTCAACACTGTTTATGTTGGAAATTTTCCAAATGGTAACTAAGTATCGGGATTATGGGAGATTTTAATTTTTTTCACAACTTACTGTATTTTCACACTTTCCTAAAACGGACATGTACCACTAAAATGATCTCTGTAAGTAAAAATAAAAGCTGCAAAATTACATAGGATACACAAGCATAGGATAAGGCAATCTGCATCCTAGGCACATGATTTGTTAATGGAACGAATACAAGTTTGTAGATAGGGAGGGAGAGTATCAGAGGTTTACGATGTTGAGAAAGAAGGGAGAGTATTTTGCAGAGATCAGAGGGGAAGAACGGATTCATTGTATAAGTAATTATTCAACACTTACCTAAGCTAGGGATACAGTGATAAAGTCAGACAAGGTCCCTGCCCTCCTGGAGCTTACATTCTAGTGGGGAGACAGACAATAAGGCAATCAACAAATAATTCCATACAGTGCTAAGCTCTTAAGGAAATTTAGCAGATCAATGTGATAAAGAATAAACAGATAGAGGGCTGTTTTAAAGTAGAGAAGAGCTGTCTGAATATGTGGCATTTGGTTTGGGACTTCAGTGTTAAGGAGCCAACCATTTAAAAATCTCGAAGGAACAATGTACCAGGCAAAAACAAAACGCAAGTGTAAAGTCCCTGAGGCAGCAGCAGGCTTGCGTGTTTGAGGGACAAAAAGAAAACCCAGTGCAGTCATGGAAAGAGTGAGGGGAGGTTGCAGGCAGGCCAGGACCAGATCAGTGGAGTGTGATTTTACTCCAAATGCAATGGGAAGCCAGTTAAGCAGGGAAGTGATAGGATTTACATTTTAATGAGATCACTGCGGTGCTGCTTAGAAAATGGAGGGCAGGACCGTGGAAGCGGACCAGGCTGATGGTGCAGTCTGGGCAGAGATGATGGTGGCGGGCAAGACCAGGGTGGATGCAACCAAGATGGAAAGAAGTGGGCTGATTGAGGATGTGTTGTGTAGATAGTACTGATAGCATTGCTGGTGGATAGCCTGTGAACTGCGGGACAAAGGGAAGAATCAAAGATGACCGATTTCCCAGATTAGACTCCAATTACAGCAGTGGAGAGGGTGAGAAGTGGTTGGATCCTGAGAGAGAGGGTAGGATGAGACTGTTAAGTAAGGCTGGACTTTGAAGGAGACCCTTTGTCTCCTTTGTTCTCAAGTTCTGAAAATCTATCAGCGAGGCTCTGTTGGATTCTGTGCTCACTAGCTCACCTTACGAAAAGGCCACATATAAAGGGGCCACTCACAGGAATACACAATGCTTCTGCCAGTCCTGTTCAGGGCCAAGGACATACGCTTATAACCTGTATGAGAAAACAATGGGTGAAATAAGGGAAAGAAGGGAATTTCCAGCTGGCGCTGTGTATTTTAAAAAGAGGCTGCCTGGAAAGGCCGTGGTTATATCTTAAACCAGCAGCAGAGACAGGTGGCTGCTCTGTAATTAAATTGTGTTTAGTACCTCCCAGACTGCTGGGATTGTTCTCAGGAGGTAGTGTGGGATGGTGCATAGACTGAGGAAAGGCAGGAATGAAGATGCTCTTTTTTCTGGGACTGACGTTCCAGATGCTTTCCCAAGTGCTGTTATGGAAAGTTACAATTACTATTTGTAATGAACTTGGAGCCCTCTTGAATGAAACGTGCACATTATTAGCCATGATTAGGCATGCGTGGATTTTACATGCATGGACAAACTGAAAAGAAAAGAAGAGATAGGAGCTCTGGCACATTGAGAATAATTATTTCCAGTATCATGACTGAGCATTTAAAATGTGAAGATGAGCTCTTTGGAATGCTCCAGTTACCCTGGCCTCCAAGTTCCTCCCTTTGCTCATGGCTAAATCATACCTTTTTCCAAATGTTCCACGCTGTCACAGTAACAACCATCAAATTTTAGCAGATCTACTCCCCAGTCAGCAAAGGTCTTGGCATCAATGTCATAGTGTCCAAAACTCCCAGGGAAGCCTGCACAGGTTTTATTTCCAACATCTGCATAAATTCCTAGCTTCAGTCCTTTGCTATGGACCTGAAATGAGAGAAAAGGATCACCACAGTAGAAGGGCAATCATGAAGTAGAGAGAACCACTGTAGGTTGGGGGCACAGATAAGTATATTTCACTAGGTATCAGGGGCTTCTTTTTTCACAAACCCCCGAAATTATCCAGGTGAGTTAGCTGGGAGACAAAGTCTCCAATGCTGCTGAGTTCAAACTATATATGTAAGCTATGATACGGAACTAAAGGGAAAGCTATCACTCTCTTTTTCTGATGGGATCCTAAAAGTTGCCTTTCCATGGCAATGATACAATTATTTGGACAAAGACTCTCACCATGACCGTACCTTAGGCTCCTCTGTGCCCTTTTCTCAAGTAGGCCTCATGTTGTTTCAGCAAGAATCCTGCTAAGTCATCTCCCTACCCTTGGTATTTGATCAAGTTCCTCATCCCCTGCCCTTCGTGTCTAACTCCTTGGCCTGCCTGCCTTTAGCAAGAATCCTCTAGACCTTGATGTCTCCTCTTGGTAATTTTCCATCCACTGACCCCCTCAAGTCTGCTCATTGACTATAAAACCCCACTTGTCTTTGTTGTATTTGAAATTGATCTTGGCTCCTTCCCCTATTGCAGTAGTACTGAATACATCTGTCTTCATTGCCTTTAGTGTCCAGCTCTATTACTCCTTAATTTCCAAAATATATTCCTTCTATCTTCTACTTTATACTACAATTGTAATAGCTGCTCAAAGCATATGGAAATACATGCACACATGTCAAGAACCAAGTTCCCTTTTCCTCCTAGAGAATTCAGTGGTTTCAGCAAAAGGAGAACTTCTCCAAGACGGGCCTCAAGAGCTACTGCAAAACAAGGATCTGCTGATGGAATGAAAATTCCACGTGATAAGCCTTACAATTTGATATTCAGATAATAGCAGCTATTTTATTTTCTCAGTTTTTCTGAATAAGCTTCAGTACAAAAGTACTTACAGTCTCCTGAATGGAAGAGAATCATCTATAAACTCACATAATCAGCAAGGCGTCGGATCCCACGAGGAAAGCGTTTAGGGTCTGCCTGAAGTCTGCCTTCTGAATCTCTTTTGGGAGCCATCCAACAGTCATCAATGCAGAGGTACTCATAACCTACATCCTTCCAGCCATCTGACTCCATGAGTTCTGCCATCTGCATGAAGAGCTTCTCACTGAAAGAGAAATTCCAAAAATTGTTGCAAATCGTTAAACAAATGATAAGGCATCTTGGGGTTTTGCAAGTTCTTTCAACCCAGTTACTACCCAATTCAGTAGTAACCAGTGCAAGGTAAAATGGACTGGGCCCTTTTTTTTTTATTTCCCCCTGCCCGAATACTTCCACCCTAAGAACCTCAATTAGGAATGAGAAATACATGAAATTGAAAAGGTAATTAGAACTAAGAAGAAAGTTCAGTAAAGTAAGAAACTACAAAGTTACTATAATCAACAGCTTCCTTAGATACCAACAATAACCTGTTTGGAAAAAAAAAGATATCATTCACAAGAGCAACCAAAAAAGCAACAGAAAAACCTAAAATACCTAGAGATAAATTTAAGATGTGCAGAATCCATATGAATAAAACTATGATGTTCCCAAATGATTTCAGTAAATGGAGAGGCGTAATTATGCTCTGGGATAAGAAAACTCAATGTTAAAACATACCTTTATACATTTTTAAAGTAGGCTCCATGCCCAGTGTGGAGCCCAACATGGGGCTTGAACTCACGACCCTGAGATCAAGACCTGAGCTGAGATCGAGAGTAGGATGCTTAATCCTACTGAGCCACCCAGGCATCTCTTATACATTTATTAAAACCCTGAACAAACCCCAAAAGGACTTTTTAAGGAACTTGGCAACATGATTCAAAAGTTCACCTGAGAGAACACATGAACATTTTACAAAAGATAAATGAAGCTGGTATAGTACCAGTAGCATTAGAATATACAAATCAATGGAATTAGAAAGTTCTGAAAGAGATCCTTCCAGCCATCTGGTACCATGGAATCTAGTATATACATATTTTTAAAAGATTTTATTTATTTTTTGAGAGAGAGAGCATGTGTGTGCACACGAGTGGGGGGGCGGGGGGCAGACGGAGAGAGAGAAGCAGGCTCTCCACTAAGCAGGGAGCCCGATGTGGGCTCGATCCCAGGACCCCAGGATCATGACCTGAGCCGAAGGCAGACGCTTAACCGGCTGAGCCACCCAGGTACCCCAGGAATTTAGTATATATTAAATGTGGCATTCCTTATAGGAAAATCAAGTCCAGGTGGATTAAAGATGTAAATATTTTTTAAATATTTTATTTATTTATTCGAGAGATAGAATGAGAAAGAGAGCATGAGAGGGGGTAGGGTCAGAGGGAGAGCAGAGCAGGGAGCCCAATGCGAGACTCGATCCATGGACTGCAGGATCGTGACCTGAGCCTAAGGCAGTCGCTTAACCAACTGAGCCACCCAGGCATCCAAAAAATTTAAATATTTTAAAAATCCATAAAAATGCTACTAGAGAATGTAGGTGACTATATTATCTTCAGGTAGGTAAAGACTTTCTCAATATGATGCCAGAGCCAGAAATCATAAAAACCAACATAAGCTGGAACCACCATATTCATAATATATGACAGACCAAACACACATACACACACAACCCCAAAACCAAACCCAGAACATTTCAACTAAAAATTTAAGTGGAAATAAAAACACCAGATTGGTAAAATTTCAAAAGAATGACAAAAATACAGTGTTGGCCAGTGTGTGGGGAAATAGACATTCTCATACACTGTTCTTGGGGATGTGCATTTGTAAAACTTTTGGGGAGGATAGTTTGATATGTAACAAAATAGTTTGATATGTAACATACCTTTAGATCCAATAATTACACTTCTAAGGAAAGAATCTTATGATGTACAAGGATGGTTAACACAGCCTCACAGTAATAAAAAGAACTGAAGAGCTTGAATAGCTATCAACAGGAGATTGCTTAAATAAATGATATACATATAATTTGCATTTGTGAAGCACTTATTCTGTGCCAGGAAAACTGTGTTTTCATTATACTCTTCTTTACCATCTACGTTTTTTGCAATGATCATGCATTAGTTTTATTATCAGATATAAAAAGAAGCCAGCAACTACTTAGAGGGAAAAAAAGGAAAAGACAAAAAGAAATATGTGATGGGAACTACATTCAGCATCCCAGCATTAAGCCTCCATAGCTTTGAACTGTGTCTGTGAGCATCTGTGATTTATCTCCATTTATTTTGTGCATCAAAGCCAAGAGAAGTTATTTTTTGGGTCCGGGAATGCTCAAAAATTTTTCCATATAAATTAATGGTAATTGCTTCTTCACTTTAAGCCATTTCCGCTTATGGAACACTCAACTTTTGGACAGAAGGGGAAACCTTTATAAAGTTCCTCCAGGTCAACCAGATTCTAGCCAGATGCCACACTCAAGGGCGAGGGGGTGGGGATATCTCAGAGACTCCCTGGTTCCTCTAAACTCCCTCCAGTTACAGCCAAGGAACCCCTGACCCCAAAAGCAGAAGAAAGAGCACGTGTCTTAGTCCTCTGTCTCTCCTACTCACCCCGGCTGTGGTCACTACCAGTGCCTGGCAGACAGAGGCAGAGCAAGCATCCCAAGAAGGGTCTGAACAGAAGTGGATGGTGAATGGATCAAGTCCCTAGTTGGCTGATCCGGCACAAAGAGACGGAGAAGTAAGGGGATGCTGACCCGACTCCTACCGCAGGAGGGGGTCACGCCAAAGTTTAGGGCTAGTTCCCCACCAGGGTAGTTTGCTAGAGATAAAACAGCAGCAGCAGTAGGGGAGCCCTCCCTCAGGCTCAAATGTTCCCTCTGCGACCTTCTACCTCCCCCCAAACAGAGACAGACAAACACACGGGAAGGCGAACCCAAGGGGGTACTCATTATCTCTCATACCTGATACAGGAATCCGGCTCTTCTTGGCAGTCAACATTGCACATGAAGCGCTCCCAGTGCAGCCAGCCCATCGTAGGGGTCATCGCCAAGCCATTGTCCAGGGCCCTGGCTCCAGGGAAGCTCCAGAGAACCAGGGCCAGGAAGCGAAGTGCCAGCAGGAAGCCCGGCAGCCGCACTCGGCCTTCCAGCTTCATTGCCACCTTAATGCAATACAAATTTCCACCGGTGAAGTGGGCTTTTAAGTTTAACTTTAGAGGCGGACCAATCACCGGTGAGCTATTAAATAATGACGTTATTGTTTCTGAGGCAACTGGGACGGTTATCCCCAGAGGCGGACCAATGATCAGTCACGTCAAACGCACCGCAGCCAATCACACTCTTCCTTTCTTGATATTGGCCCGCCCTGTTTGCATACCAGAAGGAAGTGCGGCGCTTTAGAGATCCCGAGTCTAAGCCGAGAGCTGCTCACGTGACCGAGATCTCACATGACGTAGGTGATCACGTGATCAGTCGCTTACGTGAGCAGAAGTAGTTCTGGTCGTCGTCTACCGTCTCGCTATAGCCGTTTGAGGGAAGAAGGAGGAAAATTATCCGGTATCGTTAGAGGTTGGTGTGTGGGTGGGAACTGGGGACCCGAGGGTGGTGATGATGAAGACCAAAGCAGGATCCGCGGGCCGCCTCCGCCTTTTTCGTTCCCCGCTTTCCCCTCCCCCGCTCCCCCTCCCCCCCATCTCAGTGCCGGGAAGCCGCCTTTGCTGCGCCTGGTGGGGAAATGGTGGACGTTCGTGACTGTGTATGTGTATTTGTATATCTGTCTGTCTGGGCGGGTCTCAGGGGACCCTTAAGAGAAACTCTAAGGTGAAAACGCTTGAAAACCACGTCCCTGGATTAGGAAAAACAAATATTGAGACCAGTGGCCGGAGTGCTGTTCCATCCATTCAGGCACTTAGTCCCCACTGATTGTCTGTCTGTAGGGGGAGGCACCAAGTGAATTATATCTGTAGAGTCACTTCTAGGCAAATGCGTGCCTGACAGAGGCGCTCAATAAATGTTTTTACTGAATTGGATATTTAAATAACGTTTATTTTTCTACTTATAATAGTCTACATGTTCAGTTTTGAACATTCAAAAAATAGCAGTATACTATAAATTTAAAAAAATACACGTAATTCATCACCGGGAGGTAGCTACTCAGCATTTTGGTGTATAAAAAGTATGTGTATAACACACATATAAATACACAATTTCTTAACCCACAAATGGAATCCTGGTTCCTACTTAAGCAACTTAGTCTTGGTGGCCTTCCCAGGAGATAGAGTAATGAAGCAGAATCTCCCTGCCGCTACGGAGGGGATATTAATTTCTAAAGTGCTGCAGTGACATGAAATGGGATTGGTCATCCAAGAGATAAGGCATGCAAAAAACCAGTCGGTAAATCTGTCACTCAAACCTGAAGATGGTTTATGGGGAGACTGTTATTTGCAGATGCAGTGTGCCAGGCATATAATAGGCAATTAATAAATGTTGAATCCTCAGTGTAGTTTTATGGCAGTTATTACACTTTGTACTTTCTTTCCAAGAGGCCTAGTGTTTCCAGACCATGTCAGATAAGCCGTGCACATTACAGAATTAGAACTTTATAAAAGCAAACGTTTAAGTTTATTTTTTGCTGAAATAAAATTAATCGCACAGAAAATTAAGAATGCACAAGAAATTGAAAAAATAACATTGAAAAAGCCAGAAACCTGCCACTTAGAGCAATCACTATTAACATTTGCCGCATTTCCCATGTATATATATTTTTCTAACATTTTGTTCCAATGACTGATTTTTATTTTTTTTTAATTTTTAAATTTTTAAAAAATATTTTATTTATTCATGAGAGACAGAGGAAGAGAGAGAGGGAGAGAGAGAGAGAAGCAGAGGGAGAAGCAGGCTCCCAAGGAGCAGGGAGCCCGATGCGGGACTCGATCCCAGGACCCTGGGATCATGACCTGAGCCGAAGGCAGATGCTTAACCATCTGAGCCACCCAGGCGCTCTCCAATGACTGATTTTTAAAAAATTAAAACTAGAAAGAAGTATATTGGGTAAAGAGTGAAAATCTATCTCACCTTACCTTCCAGTTCCTGTTTTCTCAGAACACAAATTTGTATTATGTGCTTTCAGATTGTCGTCTATGCATTTACATACATATATACCTGCATGCTTATATTTTAAAATAAGTAGGATCATACTATGCATATTTTATTTAATACATTTTGGAAATCTTCCTAGGTCAGGGCAGATCTTTTTTCTTAACAGCTGCATAGGATTCCATTTTAAGGATAAAGTATATTGTAATTCATTCAGCCATTCCCCTATTGATGAATAGTTAGGTTTCTAATTTTCAGCCATTACTAACAGTGCAATAACAGTGACCATCTGTGAGTATTTCTGTTGACCAGGTTCCTGGAAGGAATTATAGTAGGGTCAAAGGATATGTGAACATATGTTTTTTTTTTACACAGTTGAGATTATAAAGCAGCCGTGATCTTGGTTCATAAGATTATAGCATATGTAGTTCCTCATGTTATTAAATACTTGTATAATTTTAAAATTAAGTGTGCAATATTCTTTCTTAAAAAATACCTTTTGAAGAATATATAGCTCCATAAATCTTTGAATTTCAGGTCATCTCTTTAGGGCACATAATCTGAAATGGATTTACTATATCAAAAACTGTGATACATGTTTCCAAATTGCTTTCCAGAAATATTGTGTCTACTTTCACTCCTCTAGGAGTGTTCAAGAACCCTGAATATTAGCATTGGCTTATCCTCCCTGTTTAATTTTCACTGTCTTGGTGGGTGAAAAATGTTGATTAATTCTGGCTTTAACTGGGATTTCTGATGATTGATGAGGTTTTAACATTTCCCAGACAACTCTCCTGTATCCTCCCTCACATCTGTTTTCCCCTGTATTTAATCTGTTATCAAGTGCTGCAGAATCCACTGCTTTGAATGCGTAGATCACAACTTTCCTTTCTTTTTTCTTTTATATTTTTTAAGATTTTGTTTATTTGAGAGAGAGAGCGCGCGCGCACAAGCGGGAGGAGGGACAGAGGGAGAGGGAGAAGCAGACTCCCTACCAAGCAGAGAGCAGGTTCCATCCCAGGACCCTGAGATCATGACCTAAGCTGAAGGCAGCCACTTAACCCACTGAGCCACCCAGGCGCTCTCCTTTCTTTTTTTAAAAACTACTGTTGCCTTGGGGCGCCTGGGTGGCTCAGTTGGTTAAGCCTCTGCCTTCGGGTCATGGTTCCAGGGTCCTGCTCAGCGGGAAGCCTGCTTCTCCTCCCTCTACCTGCCACTCCCCTTGCTTAAGCTCCCGCACGTGCTCTCTCTGACTCTCTGTCAAATAAGATACTTTAAAAAAACAAACAAAAAAACTGCTGTTGCCTTAGGTGAATCCCTTATGCCTGCCTCAAAGTGACTGGGTTTCTAGCTGATCTTGCTGGTGTCATACCAACCCCCTCTGTTTGAGTCCCACACTGTTGCCAGGGTGATCTATTATTTGAAAGGGCTCTGATTACATCACTTCCCTCCCCTCACTCCCCTGCCCACTTCCCTCTCCTCACTCCTTCACCCACTCCCCTACCCTCACTCCCCTACCCTCACTCCCATACTTAAAACCCTTAGAAGGCCCTCAGTGTTTGTCTATCAAGTAAGGTCTTTGGGATCTTATGTCTACCTTGCCAGCCTTCTCTCTCGCCGAGCCTCATCCTATTTTCTGCTCCATCCGTAATTTTTTAAAAATTTACTTGTGGATCCTTGAACTGGTGAGTCTGTTTTATTTAACAATTCTGTGCCAACTGTTAGAATTGACCAACTAGTCCCTGTTTTATACCACCTTTTCACCCTGGCCAGAATTTTGTCATAGCAGGGATACTGTTTATTTGCCCTTTTGTCTTTAGTAAAGATGTATAATGCCCCTGTAGGACCATAAACACTTTCTGGGCTTACTGATCCTTGTATCCCAAAGCCAAGTCCTGAACTTGGCAGCTGAAAAATATAAAAGGAATGTGTGAATTTTTTCCATTTATGTCTTAGGCCTTAATATCTCCCTGATTTTATTAATTGGCATGAGTTCTTTATATAATAAGGATATTAATGTATTGGTGTAAGTATCTTATCAAGTGTATTGTTTGTCTTTTAATTCTATTTAATCTTACCTTTGATGTAATGAAGTTTTTCATTTGTATGTAATCGGGGATAGCCATCTTATATTTGTTCACATCTTCCAGTGATTTTGTTGCTGTTAATTTTTTATGCCTTTTATGTTCTGTGATGTCAATACATGTTCAGTGTAGAAAACTTAGAACATACAGAAATGTCCAGAGAAAATACTCCTTTAATCAAGAAGTTCCCATAATCCTACTGCCCAGAAATAACCACTGTTAATGGTATCCAACACGTAATAGGTATTGAGTAAAATATTCATTGGGTGAACAAATTAGAAATTTGGTGTAGTCTTTTATATGAGTGTTTTAGAAAAAAGTTATCCATGTGAGTTTTATATTATTAGTTTGCTTTTTTCCTCTTACTGTATTGTGAACTTTTTTCCATGACAATAGTCTTCTAATTTTTTTCAGCTACACCGGGATTGCATCGAGCCAAGCTTGCCACCAAGAGCCCAACAGTCACCATGATGCTGAGCACAGAAGGCAGGGAGGGGTTCGTGGTGAAGGTCAGGGGCCTACCCTGGTCCTGCTCAGCTGATGAAGTGATGCGCTTCTTTTCCGATTGTAAAATCCAAAATGGCACATCAGGTATCCGTTTCATCTACACCAGAGAAGGCAGACCAAGTGGTGAAGCATTTGTCGAACTTGAATCCGAAGATGAAGTGAAATTGGCTTTGAAGAAGGACAGAGAAACCATGGGACACAGATACGTTGAAGTTTTCAAGTCCAACAGTGTTGAAATGGACTGGGTGTTGAAGCATACAGGTCCGAATAGTCCTGACACCGCCAATGATGGCTTCGTCCGGCTTCGAGGACTCCCGTTTGGCTGTAGCAAGGAAGAGATTGTTCAGTTCTTTTCTGGGTTGGAAATTGTGCCAAATGGGATGACACTGCCGGTGGACTTTCAGGGGCGGAGCACAGGGGAGGCGTTTGTGCAGTTTGCTTCCCAGGAGATAGCTGAGAAGGCCTTAAAGAAACACAAGGAAAGAATAGGGCACAGGTACATTGAAATCTTCAAGAGTAGCCGAGC